GAATCTTTCGCGCCAAAGAAGCAGAAGAGTCGATGGACCACAAACCAAGTGCCTTATTACCACCTTCATGTGAGAGAATAATAAAAAAAATAGGAAATAGTTGCCTCGTCCTTGCCTTTTACTTCCCCAAAATCATCCGTGAATTATAAAAGAAAGAAAAAAGACAGCCATGGATGACACAATCCGTCCGCAACGTGCCTTGAACGACTTTTGGCGCCAACCTGCCTCTTCCGATGGAGTCAAGATGGCGGCGTGGGGAGGCTACCCGCTCCTCGAACCGCTTTTGGAACCCGTCTATGCGATGGACCATGAGGTAAACGATGGTAGTTCCATGCTTGTGTAAACCCATGTTGGACGCACATTTACTCCTGCCTGCTGTATATTTCGCACACCTGTCTTCCCATCTTACTCTTATAAGGTTTTGTGAGTGTGACTTCTTGTTGCTACGGAGAACACATGTATTTTGACGTACCTGTTTAGCACAACGTGTGATGTTACATGTATCTCTGTACTAGCGAAGTGAAGGATTTTTTTGTGTTTGCAGAAGAGTTCGTAACACATTAGTAATTGTACTTCTTTTGTTAAAGACACAACGATTTTCCTAGAGAATTCGCGTGTTTTCATACAAGTGGTTTTGTTTTTCTTGATGTAGCTGAGACAATGTGGCAACATGAACAGCGCCATCTGTGGTGTCGTTCGAACAAGCATGGAATCACAGATGCGAGAGAAATATTCCTTAATGCACTGACTCCTTCCTGACCACCTGAAGGTAAAATGGATAAATTGATAATATAAAAAGCATAATAGGCCAGCACTGTCTTAGCGCCGCCATTATAGACTAGTCTACGTCTTGTATGAGCTCTAAAAAGTATAATAAAACAGAACAGTACTCTAGAGACACTGCACAGAAAACACCACTATCTATGGCTATCTAGAAGTTTCTCCTCCACGCATGAAATTATTGTCATCATTATTCTTATCCTCACAAATCACTAAAATGAGTAAATTCGTGAGTCTTGTCTCCGCCATCACCACACGCACCAACTTTCCGCACCGTCGCTTAAGCCGCACCTTCAACGCACTTTGCACTGTCTGTCGCACTTTATCACTGTTTCCCATCGCAATAGATAGACATAGAGAAAAATAGATTGGTCACGTCCTCTGTCTGGGTAGTCAAAGTGTAATCAAGATCTATTACAATGTACACTAAGGTTATTTGTTCATAAATTAGGTTGTACTAGATTGCACAGTATATTGCATCGTGTTTTACTTGATATATAGTATAAATCATTCAATTGCAATAGACTCAGAACACTTACAGATTGGTTATGAATAGTTTATTCATATGAATGTCAAGCATACATTATGCACTGTACTGTACACCCCATAACTGCACAGTAGTTTGCACTCCATGCGACAATAAACAACTGTACTGTAGTTCATCATAACATCATTATGTACTCAAAACATGTATCACATTACAAACTTTGTATCTGACAGTAGCACTGATTTGTATTTTAAGATTTCTTTCTCACAATACATGCACTGTAAATTACGTATCATATTTCTGTACACGCTGTATAAAAGCTTTTTGTTTGACTGTATGTATACTATTTAAAGCTTTTTGCAATATTTCTACCATTATGTATAATTATATTTGTTGTATATTCATACAATCCTATTATCAATTTGTTGACATCCAGCTTTTTCAAGGTCACATAATTTGATATATATACCTTAGGTCTATCCATAAGGGTGATTGCCTCGTAAGTTTTCCTTCTAATTATAATCCCTAGTGACGAAATATTTGTAAGGCTTCAAGTTCAAGTTTAGAAACAGTGTAACGAAAAACAATATTTCGACCTCATATGGAAAATGACTTTAAAAGAACCTGAGTTATCTGCTTAAATATTTAACTAAGAGTATTTACTCGGAAGTTACTTTCAATGTTAGATATATCTAAGATAATATATATATATATATATATATATATATATATATATATATATATATATATGTATTATGTATACACACGTATACATAAATACATCATTTTTTTGCACTTCCATGATAATTTCTGATTTGGCGAACAGGAGATTAATCACTCAGAATTATGTTGAATTTTATCATTCCAGTATTTAGAAGGTGTAAACGCAGAGTTCCTTTCCAAAACCATTAGTCTTCAATTGCTTGCTTGCTTTTAGACGTCAAACGTTAATTAGTTTGCGTGACGCTCTTAAGAAGCCTTTTAATATATGATGACTTGAACTGATATATATATATATATATATATATATATATATATATATATATATATATATATATATATATATATATATCCTTTAAACTAAGGAGATTAACAGTGTTTTTTATGTATGTGTATACATATACATATACACAAACACACATACATACATGTACACTTCAAGAAAAAAAAAACATACCTCTATTGTTGGTATGCCAATATGCACCGTATTTGTTGATAATTACTGATAGATTAATTGCTACTCAACTGCTTTCTCTTAATTTTGTTTTTTGCATAAACTTGATTGCAGTTGAAGTAAAAAAAAAAAAAAAAAAAAAAAAAAAAAAAATCTATTCTAATAACCATGAACCTCCCACAACCCACAGCCAAAACACCACGACCAGATTTCCCTCCTAAGACTACCCAAATCCCCTTAAATCACCTAACTGGACGACTTCCCCACAGACCATGTCGATCGTGGTGTCGTCCTTGACCATCGCGACCCAGCTGGCGTTGTCGCACGTCATCCGCGGCCGTCTGTCTGACCTCATTCAGAATGAACTCCTCAAGGGCTGCCTCCTCGAACTGGTGGCAGCGGCGGAGATGTGCGGAACCTGCTATGAACTCATCATCGGTGAGTAAAGAGGGTGGTGGATATGGGTAAGGAGGATGATGAATAGGGGTTGGTGGATATGGGTGATGAATGGGGTAAGGGGGTGGATATGGGTAAAGAGGGTGGTGGATATGGGTAAAGAGGGGGATGAATAGGGGTTAAGAGGGGGATGAATAGGGGTTAAGAGGGGGATGGATATGGGTAAAGGGTAATGGAAATGGGTATAGATTTTGATGAATTTGGGTAAAGTGTGATGGATATGGGTCAAGAGGGGGATGAATATGGGTAGAGGGTGATGGATATGAGTAAAGCTTTTGATGAATATGGGTAAAGAGGGTGGTGGATATGGGTAAAGGTCGATAGATATAGATAGATCTGGTCATCGATGAGTATGGCTTAAGGCGTTAAAAGATATAGACGAATCTGAGCGTTAGTGAGTATAAGTTTAGAGGTTGATGGATATAGACAGGTCTGACCAATAGTGAATATGAGTTAGATGTTGATGTTGATAGATGATAACAGATCTGATCTAAAGAGGGTGGTGGATATGGGTAAAATGGGTGATGAATAGGGTTAAGAGGGGGAGTTAGATGTTGATGTTGATAGATGTAAACAGATCTGATCATTAGTGAGTGTGGGTCACATAGGTAGAGGTCGATAGGTAGAATAGATAACAATGCTTGAATAACAATGTATGAGGTTAATAGATATAGACAAATAAATAGAAAATATACGCTTAAGGATCTCAGAATGGTAGAGGGTACACAGACATATACATCCCATTAAAGATTGTTAGTGAGTATAGGTTACGTATCTAAACAGATTGATAGATAAGTGGATAAATAGATAGAATAGATATAGACGAATAGATCAGTGGTTCCCAAACAGGCAGAGAATAGACAGATATTTATTAACAGATAGACACGGTCTAGGCAATGCAGTGAATAGACCTTGTATTCTTATCTTGATGGAGAATACCCAGCAGTATTGCAAAATTCGATTATTTGAAATCTAGGTTATACTCATTCTTTTCGTGTCTTTCCGGGTTGTCCTTTGGACAGGTAATCTATCTATCTATCTACATGACAAGTGAGATAATATATGATTCATTATTAGCATATAAATATAGTTAGATAAACAAAAATACAGGAATAATACAAATTATAAGAATAAGGATAATGATGATAATGATACAAATAATGATAATGATTATTGTCATTACTACTACTACTAATAATAATAATGATCAAAGTCCTAAATATGGATAACACGAAAATGGAAATCTCACTGACTAAAAACAACTTCAAACGAAAACCAATGACACCAGTGATAACAATGATAAAATCCACAAATCCCAAAATACAAACGAGCATTAACCCCCCCTCCCCCTTGTCTTCCAGTCGCCGACAACTACGGAGTGTATGCCTACGCTGTGTACCTCTGGCTCATGACCATCTGGTGGGGCCAGTCGTGGGGAACCGCCACAGCCTGCCCCTACAGCCTGCTGGAGGAGTACGTGGAAGTGGGAAGTGACGCTGTCTCGGTCGTGCTCAAGATCATTGCTCAAGTGATAGGTGGTTTGATGTCCTTCAGGTGAGAGAGGGGGTGGGATGGGTAAGGAGGTGGGTATTGTGGGTATCTGTGGTGGGTATTGAGTACGTGAGGGAGGGAAGGAAGGGGGGATAATTTCTTTCTTTTTCGATTTTGAGGTTTTGTTTTATTTGCTTAGTTTGAATTGTCTGTATTACGATTAGATAATTAGATATGCTGTTTTCACTTTAGATATGTTGTTTGATTCAGGCCACGTGGGTACAAAGGTAATACTTTTCAACCGTTCACATGAGTACCACCTAAAAGTCGTCCCATACAATCACATCACATTCTTATATTCTAGAAAATAAAGAAAAATCACTTAGTAGAAAATCCACGACAACTGTATTGTTTAGAGGAGTAAATGACCATTTTGCATGAAGAAAACAGAGTAAAATTATATTATTCCGAACGAAATTCTGTCCCAGACAAATACATCCAACCTAACCTATGTTGCCATGTCGGTGAAAGAACACTTCGCAAAGAAGAAAAATAAGATTATTTATTATATTATATCATATCAAATAGGTATTTACCCTTTTCAACAAAAGCAAAAAAATGACAACTCAAAACACACAAGCAACTGAACGGCCACCCCCCCCCCTTTTTCCAGATGGGTGAAATACATCTGGATGATGGAACTCGCCGCAACGCACGTGGGTCGCGGCGTGGACGACTGCTCGGCTGACCTCCAAGTACCTGTCATCGCTGGCTTCCTGATCGAGTGTGTGCTGACCTGTGCCTGCCGACTGGTCTCTCGAGCTCTGGGCGAAATCGAACCCAAGTTTGCCTCTGCGATCGATTCCTTCTTTGCTACGTCCATGGTGGTGCTCGGTGAGTGGTTATAGGGTATAGGGAAGTATAGCGTATAAGGAGACTAGGAGGAGGGTAGAGGGAGTTTCGGAAACGTGTTAGGAACGTGTTTGAGGTTTGCTTCTGGAAATGCTCTTGGGTACTTAGGAGTGGCTTTATGTTCATTTTTATTAGGAGTGGCTTAGTAGTATAGGCTATACGGAATACAGTTTTATTGTATTTGTTTTTTTAAGTCTATTGTTTATGACGATTTAAAGTATGACCTCGGGAAGTAAGGTAAATTCAGGATTATTCCAAAATAGCCCAAAACTTCACGGATACATTAATAAACCAGTATACCAGTTATTTTTACATACAGATTACAAAGGAATAATTCAGGAACGGTATTCATGAAAGGTCATGGACTTCTTTGGCCGTAGTTTCGTCCATGACTTCTCACGGAATTAACTTTGACACTCAATTTTTGTCTATGACTCAAGTATAGTTTCAAACATGTCTGGAAGTGTCACACACGTCTAAGAAATGTCTATAAATTGTTCTTATGAGAATCGGACAATAATAATGCAAGTAAATATGCAAGGGATTATCATGGCCTCAGGGATGACGACTAAAACAGGCGCACCTTTTTGATTCTTTGCCATACGTTGATTAAGCCGTTTCATGTATTTACTGCAGCTTGGTTTTTGCGAAATATAACAGAAGCTTTCATGGCTGATACAGTGACAGCGAACGTCGAGGACGCCGTCTTATATATGAAAGATAATGATTGCATTACAGTCATTATAAATAAGAATACTTGCAACATCGCTTTTGCTTTATCATTGCAATAGATTTTCGTCATTGGGTTAATTACAGTATAAATGTTTGTTTTAGTAACAGCATCAATATTTAAATGTGACACAGTGCCAAGTCGTGAACGAAATTAAGAACAGCCGTAGACCAGACAATCAAACTATACGATAGCAGTCCCAAAATTTGCGAGAAAAAACTTTTATTTTAGTGTTTAAAGTATCGACAGTGTCAATAAAAAACAGCAATATTAATGATAAAAATCATTATTTATAATCATACTAGCAGTAATGAATAATGTTGACGATATTTGTAATGGTAATATTAAGAAAAGTAATAATAATAGTAATTACGTCTATTGATTAAAGACTAGAAATTTATAGATAAATAAATGTATTCCTTCGAAAGATTACCGTGCAATTTCATAATAGCAGTAAAATATGTTTCTACTTACACGAAAAATTGCAATTTAAAACACCATTTCCTATCACATCAAAACCCAAACAAAACACCCGAATCCAACACACGAAACAAACCCCGAGCCGATCCCGCATAACCAACCCTCGCTTTCGCTTCTCTCCCCCTCAGCCTTCAACTACTCCGGCGGTTACTTCAACCCCGTGCTCGCGACCGGCCTCAAGTGGAGCTGCCGAGGCCACACGAACGCCGAGCACATCATCGTGTACTGGGCCGGCTCCATCCTGGGCGCCATGATGTCCATCCGCCTCTGGAACCTCGCCGTCGTCAAGAACACGATGGTCGGCCCCTTCAAGCCCAAAGAAGAGTAGGAGAGGGAGAGATGAGATTGGTACTTTTGAGGAAAAAGGATATATTTATATATTATTGTTTTATTGTGGATTGAATATTCGAAGATTTAAAAAGCCACGTTTGAAGTGGCTAGGTAGTGTCACAAGCGCACACATACACACGTATGTAAAGAATGTATTTATTTTTTGGAGTGTAATTTGGTATGGATTTTGTACTATACATGAGGTGGGCGAAAAAAAAATGTGACGGTGACAATCGCCGAAGAGAGAGATAGTATAATGGAACATATTTTGTTAGACTGTTTCATGTTAGCGAAAGACACTCAAAATTTGAGTGATTCAACTATGTGCAAACTACCTCCTTAACAGCTTCCATTGACTCCGTCATGTATAGCATTACTCACAAAGTAATCCTGCATTTAGAATTTACTTGTTCTGAATCTCTGTGAAAACGAAATGTACAAGAATCTTTTATAAAGAGAACAAAAATGCAAAGAAAAACGTTGCATTTGTACACAAAATGCTCTTTACTTCGTGTATCGAGTAGTTAGGCTGTCGCGTAGTCCGTCAACTGTAGCTCTCTCCTCGATCTTCTCTTCTCTTCTCACGCACGAATTCCCTTGTCAAAGCTGAAGACAGGAGATGGTTATTGACTAAGCAAATCTCTTATATGTAAAAAAAAA